GTAATTAGACTTAGCACGTAAGTTTGTGTAGGGTTCTAATGTACGACATTTACACTTAGCATACATGACTTAGATTGTTAAAACATAAATGTCTCGTGACTTAGCAGATGTTTCTTGTATCAACAGATGGCTGACCGCGATGAGGAACAGATATTGTACGATACAATCGCGGAGGGAAGCAGCCAGTACTGGAATGAAGAAGAGGGGAACGAGGATCCAAACCAGTACTTGAACGAGGAAGGGAACGTGGAGAGGGATGCGGAGGGGAACCAGCAGGGGCACGTGGAAAGGGATGTGGAGGGGAACCAGGAGGAGGAGGCTAGTGGTAGTCAACCCTCCGTTGGACAGAAGAGGGCACGCGGGCAACGAGGTGCAGCGAAGAAGCTTGAGGGTCGGCACATCATAACGGAAGTGGAAGAAGATGGACGTCCTAGTGCCCCGGCCGAAGCCGCCAAGAACTATGTACGTCACAGCGGTTGGGTTGTGCGGGATAACGTGCCTGTCAGTACGGTGTACTGGCGAAGAACAAGGGCACGAGGAGATCATGAGAGCTTTGTCCCAGATTCGGAGAAAGAGATGCTGTGGACCACAATGCTCGAGACATTCACCCTTCCTGCGGGTACAGAGGACAAAGTGAAAAGGTGGACTCTGAAGAAAATGGCAGAACAGTTTCAGAGCTTCAAGGGAGATCTGTACAAGAAGTATATACTGAAGGGGCAGACACCGAACTTCGACACATTCCCAAAGCTAAGGGATCACTGGGACGAGTTCGTTGCATATAAGACAGGTGAACAAGGGCAGGCGATGATGGAAAGAAACAAAGAAAATGCCGCCAAGAAGAAGTACCATCACCACTTGGGGTCAGGAGGCTATAGCGTCGCGATGCCGAAGTGGGAGGAGATGGAGGCTAGCTTGATTGAGAGGGGTATCGAACCGGCAACAGCCAATTGGCCGGAACGATCGAAGTTCTGGTACTATGCTCACGGTGGAACGCTCAACCCAGCTGATGGCTCACTGGTATTCGGCGTTCAGATACGAGAGGCTGCGCAACGACTAACAGATGCAGTGGAAGCCTCCTCTCAGGGCACGTTCCGACCCGACAGAGATAGGGACGAGCTGACACTCGCCCTGCAGACTCCAGAGCATCCAGGACGAACACGAGGGAAAGGGGTGATTCCTTGGAAGATTGGTTTCAAGGAGGACATCCACACGTACAGGAGTCGGATGAGGAGCAAGAGAGATACCGAGGCGAAGATTGCAGACCTAGAGTTCCGGGTATCGAGCTACGAACTCAACATGCAAGAGGAGGTGGCAAGGAAGGTTGATGAACGCATGGCCGCACATCGGTCCCATGATCCCCAGCCGACCATTCCTCCTGCAATGGTGAGCCCGTCAGGAAACCGTAGCAGCTGCGCCTCAACGGGGCAGGTAGGATCGCAGAGCATGGACGCCATGCAAACACAGGACGAATCGACCTGTCCCGTTGATGACATCACTCAGCGGACACCATGTGAGCTGCATATTCCTTTCAAGAACTTATCAATAAAGGTAAGATTTAGCCATTCCGCTAGTTCCTGCTTATATATGTTGATTACTAATAAATAATCTCTCACAACATGAAGGTGGCGTCGGGCATGGCCATCCCAACGGACCCTTCAGGTACTTACCACTGCAGGCCGATTCCAGCAGGATACTCGAAGGTCGAAGTTGAGTTGGTCGAAGGCGCGTACGAGGACCTCGAGCTGGATTACCCTGGAGGAGACGGTGAGACGCATCTACGAGACACAAGCCATGCCATTATTCTATGGCGCAGGCGGTACATCATCCTCCCTGGGCGACAAGCGGCGTCTCGTGCACCATCTCCTCCGGCTCCGCCATCTCCTCCTCATGATCCTGCACCGTCTCCTCCTCATGCTCCGCCAGCACCGTCTCCACCTCAGGCTCCAGCATCGACTCCTCCTCAGGATCCTGCACCGACTCCTCCTCGTGCTCCTACACCTACTCCCCCGCAAGCTCCTCTTCCGGCACCTTCAAAGTCAAGGGCCCCCCCAGCTGCACCGCCTGCCCACACAAGGGCAACGAAGAAGGCGAAAGTTGACGCCGACAAGAACAAGGACCCGGGGTACGATTGCACGCAAGAGGAGCTTGACGCTTACGTTGCATCAGAAGTCAAGAGACAATTCAAGCCTCGAAGTCCAGAAAAGAAGATTCCTATAGACCCCAGTGTCAGGAACTTCTTCAGGGGTATGTCTGCATCTGTCAAGGAGTCCATCAAGCTATCGGACTATGAGCGAACGCTGAAGAAAGCATCTTCTGGAAAGTCCAAACCAGTCCCTCAGCTTGGAGAGCAACCAAAACAGGAGATCGAGCCGTTGGTTACCGGTAAAGAAATGACGATAGAACAATTTATTACTGACACCGGTCTAACTACGGATCAATTGCTAGGAGTCGCACCAATCGAAAAGGCGGAAGTGAAATACATGTACGAACTCGGTAAACCGCTTGTCAAGCCTGAGCTGCTGCAGTCCCTACCCACACAAATGTACAAATTCCATCAGCTGTACATGGAGATGAGCGCCGCCGGTAGAGAGATGATCGGAGCGAGGATCAGGGACACGGACTTCTTGCAAGGAGATGACATTCTCTGGATCAATTTCAAGGGAATCTACGAACTATACCAGCTGGACGCCCTCGACGTCTCTATTATGAGTTGCTGGATTTTGTAAGTATATCGTTCGGTTAGATTTCTTACTATACGTCTCCTTTAATAAATTAGGTCCTTGTATATAAGTAGACTATAGAAAATAATATACTCCCTTTTATCGTTGTAGAATGGAGATTCAAAGGGCCCGACGGCGGAGGGTTTTCGATACTGGATTCATCGACCCTCGGAGAGTAAACGTCGCATTGCTCGACCAATATCCACAAGAAACAGAGGACAATCTCGTCCATCTCCTGAAGGCGCAGCATTACAAGACGTTCATACTGTTGCCATACAACACAGAGTTAGTTTAATTTTACTGTCTTCCTACATACCAAATTTCATTCCCGTACGAACTTGCTAAGTGTTTCATATGTAATGCATCCCACGCACATTGCAGATTCCACTGGGTGCTTTTACTCTTCGACCTGGAGGCCTGCACCGTCAACGTATATGACTCAATGGATAAAAAAGAGTCTACGTTTGACAAGGTTTTCGAACTTATAGACAGGTACCGTCATAAGTTCCTTTGTTAATTAAGAAAATCTTGTTATGTTAATTGCTACTACGAATCATAGCTTTAAACTCCATGTAGGGCTTGGTATCGGTTCCGTCATTTGGTCCGCGGCAAATGGAGAGAAAGACTTAGGCGGAAGTTCAAATTTCCTGTGAGTACACATGCTCTATATTTATATTTCTCCGATTCAAATACATACAAGTGTATATTAATTAGATCTCTCGTTGTTTGTCATTTATTTGTAGTGCGCAAAGCAAAAGCAGGGAAATAACTTGTGCGGCTATTACGTGTGCGAGTATTGCCACTGCCTTGCAAACCAAATCATCACCACAAGAGAGCTCGATGTACGTACAAATAAATTCAAAATTTCATTACGTAGCGATTTCTTGTTTAATTACTAATCAATTTCATACATTCATATAGTTTATTCGCATGAGGGATAACCTGACCACACACAAGGAATTTATCACGGCGGTTCAAGAACAACTCATGGGATTCATCAACGAAGAAATCCTTAATCCCAAGGGTGAATTCTACTACGACGGAAACACAATTCACCGGTCCTTAGCTTCTGAGCTAGCAGCGAGTACTACTACGTCGAAATGATAGCTAGCTAGCTAGGACATATAATGGATTGTAATTAATACATGACTACATATGTTTCTATATGCATGTGTACACATTTTCTATAATGTAAATATATTTTGGTCATATATATATATCTATATACATATGCATTAATTTGCATAACATATATATGTGTATAAATACATATATATTATGCATGTATATACATATAATATAATATAATATATATATATATACATATATATATATGTATGCATATATATGTATTGAAACATATATATGCATGGTTTATATATATATATATATATATATATATAAACTATATATATATATAAACCATGCAGCAACAGGGCCATGCAAAAAAAAATGGTCAGCTCGATCTTTAGTCCCGGTTGGTAACACCAACCGGGACTAAAGATGCTCAGCCGGCCACGTGGCTGAGCCATCTTTAGTCGGTTGGTGTTACCAACCGGGACTAAAGATCGATCTTTACTCCCGGTTATTTCACCCGGGACTAAAGATAGCGATCTTTAGTCCCGGATTGGTACTCCCGGTTTGGAAACCGGGACTAAAGGGGGGTTACGAACCGGGACTACAAAGGGTTTCTCCACCAGTGTTATGATTAAAAGGGTTTCCCATGTAATTAAATAGAACCTTACTTGTATGTGAATTTATACAATAACATCTTTCTCTAATTGGTAATTCATGATTAATCACTCCTACTTTACGTTGTAAAAGTTGAAATTTATGTAAATACATGCTGAGAAATTTAACTATCTATGAGAAAATACGGCACTGTAAATATTGACGGAGCCAAACGCAAACATTAATCTACTGTATGAGGAAGAAATCCTATATACTTATATAATTCATCTCCACTAAGTATAGTTAATGCTATTTATCTCGTTCTCTCATTAAGCCACATCACCCTAATTATTTTTAGCCTTTGGATAATAGATCTATGGTCTAAATTGTCTCTTCTTTCTTCTCTTATAAAAACATACAATCTCAATTATTTTTAGGCTCAAAATTGTATCAAATTGTTTTAGTTTTGATAATCAAATTACATTTTATTTATACATACTTAATTTTTCGCAGCAACACGGTGAGGTATTCATCTAGTAAATTAATATAGGCACACCTTGTCTATAAAATGAGAAGCAGGGCCAGCTTCATCTCCAGCCAACACTAGTATCCCATCCATTCTTGCCTTCGAACCTCCATATTTCCTAGAGACGCACACTATGGGCAGCCTCGTTGCTCCGGTCACCGTCCACGAGCACCGGCGTGCCGAACGAGCAGACGGCCCAGCCACCGTGCTGGCCATCGGCACGGCGAACCCAGCGAACTGCGTGACCCAGCTCGATTACGCCGACTTCTACTGCCGTGTCACCAACAGCGAGCACCTCGCTGGCATCAAAGACAAATTAGACACACTATGTAAGCTTGAAAACATGCTGAAATTAAATTGAAATTTAGAAACCATTTTCTATATATTGTTTGGCTTAATTTCTACATCATTCGTCTCATCGTTGTGGTTTTACTTGTGTTTGTGTGTTTTGTTGCTGGGTGATCTTCAGGTGTGTCGGCGTCGGGCAGTGAGAAGCGTTTCTTCCACCACACGGAGGAGATGATCAACGCGCACCCTGAATTCCTCGACCGCGCGAAGCCGTCGCTGGACGCGCGCCTGGAGATCGCCGCCGCCGCCGTCCCAGAGCTCGCCGCGACGGCCGCGGCGAGGGCCATCGTGCAGTGGGGCCGCCCCGCCACCGACATCACCCACCTCATCGTGACCACCAACGCGGGCGCCCACGCCCCGGGCGCCGACGTCCGCTTCGCCGCGCTCCTCGGCCTCCGCCCCACCGTGCGCCGCACCATGATCCACCTCAACGGCTGCTCCGCGGGCGCCGCCGCGCTGCGCCTCGCCAAGGACCTCGCCGAGAACAGCCGCGGCGCGCGCGTCCTCGTCTCCTGCGTCGAGCTCACCGTCCTCACCTTCCGCGGGCCGGACTGCCCCCACACCGTCAACTGCCAGGCGCTGTTCGGCGACGGCGCCGGCGCGGTCATCGTCGGCGCCGACGCCGTGCGCCCCGTCGAGCAGCCGATGTTCGAGATGGTCTCGGCTTCGCAAACGCTCATACCGGGGACCGAGCACGTCATCACCATGCAGCTCACGGAGCACGGCCTCGACGGCAACATCGATGCCAAAGAGCTCGCCCCTCTCGCCGCGAACAACGTCAAGAAGTGCCTCTCCGACGCGCTCACGCCGCTCGGCCTCGACGGCGGCGAGTGGAACGACCTCTTCTGGGCGGTGCACCCGGGAAGCCCGTTGATCTTGGACCACATCGAGAGCGCTCTCCAGCTAAAGCCGGGGAAGCTGGCGGCGACCCGGAGGGTTCTAAGGGAGTACGGCAACATGCTCGGCAGCACGCTGATCTTCGTGCTCGACGAGCAGCGACGGCGGATGGAGGAGGAAGGAGACGGAGCTGAGTGGGGGGTGACGCTGGGGTTTGGACCCGGTTTCACCATTGAGACCATGGTGTTGCACGCACCTGATCATGACAGCCGGAAGAAGAATTAGCTTAGCTCAGACGAGCAAAGGTAAGAGAAGGAGAGAGCATTGATATTCTTCCATCTTTTGATGAGGGTAACAAGGTTCCAAATGGATTCAGCTCCAAATCAGAATTCTACTTGTTCCAACAGGTTTCAGTAAAATTTCAAGCATTAATTCGTATTCTTTTAGATAATAAGGCACAGCAATATAATAAATGTTAAAGTGTATTTGTTTTTCGTATATCGTATTGTTAAAACACATGTCGCCTTTTTATATATTTTCTTGAGATAATTTAATATTTACGGCTCCAGGAGTTGTATTTGAGTATGTACTACTATTTACAATGTAATGGTAATATTAGCTACCTGTATGAGGCTGTATACTATGCTGGTTTTTTAGTTTTTTTTTTCACTAATTGAACTATCTACAAGGAATTGAACTATCTACTCCTTTGTCTTATGGCTCGCATGCATGTGAAATGCCTTTTTTTTTTCACCTCTCAACTAAGTTTTTGGTTTTTTAGTCAATTTGAACATTAAAAGTTAATTTGATAAGATGCAACGCTTATTAGCAATAAAAATAATTTCTAGATAAAAAATATACATGCTTGTTTTTAGCAATTTAAAAGCTAAAAGTAAAACTAGACTACGATGAAAAAACATCAAATAAACTCTAAAACTAAGCTTTAAGATTTAAATTTCAGCTGCAGCTAGGCAGAAGAGTAAACGCTTCTTATAATATCAATATTACTGTAAAGTACACTAGTGATAGTGGTGGCCACTACTTTTATAGTTTTTTTATAAATTGGTTTATGATATTTTCTGATATTAAGCAATAGCCTAATATTTGTTTGAATCAAATGAATACTATAGTATACTAGCATATTTCATAAAAAATATATATATTTAGAACTAGGTGTATATAACTTCATTTTATTTTTCATAAGATTGTATACTAGTAAATAACAATTAAACCAATATCTTGGTAACCATGTTTTCAAAACGTTATTTATTTGCTAAGGAAGGTAATAATACATGATAGGGCTAGTTCGGTTTGAAGAAAAAGTAAATGATTTGTAATCCTAAGGATTAATTTTCATGAGTGTTATTCGGTTGGTAGGAATAAAGTATAGTAAAATCAACGAAAATAATTCTTTACTACAAGTTGTATAGAGAAAACATTGGAAAGTTTTCATTCACTCTTGGAATTATTCCTATGAATTCATCTGTGCATGTATTCTTATTCTTCCGCTTTTCCTATTCCTATGATCACTTAAAAATTCATCCAAACTAAATAAACCCTAACGAAATACTCCCTCCGTCCAATAAAAAATAAACTTAGTATAAGAATCTATTGTAAATTACCAATCTCTAATCTGTTAAGCAGCAGATAAAATACACATGTTATTATACATAAAACCGGAAGCCCCATCATTAATTAACCAGGCGTTAATTGCCCTTTTAATCTGGGCGTATAGCCCAAACTTTCATCCACGTCATTACAAAACTCTTGGGCCATTAGCCTACTCTGGACCATAGTACTCCATAAAAGGAATAAGTTCATTGGAGATCCCTCAACTTAACAGCGAGATTTTTTTTAGGTCCCTTAACCACAAAACTAGAAATGTATACCTCTAAACTCACATAAACCATGCATAAAAGGTTCCAAGACAGTATATATGGGTGGTTTCGCTGACATGGCATCCTAGTCAGCAAAAATATTAAAAAAAAGTACATAGGACCCACATGTCAGCTGCACATATTTTTTTTTCTTCTCCTCTCTTCTCTCTTTTCTTCTTTAGGCCAGCGGCGAGCGGAGAGACGATGGGCACGCGTGGATGCGGGGGCCGGGCGGAGAGCCGGCGGGCTGCAGGCGGAGCGGACGGCGAGCTAGCGCGGCGGCGGAGCGGACGGCGAGCTAGCTCGGCGGCAGAGCAGCGGTGGGTGAGCACGGCAGCCAAGCGGCGACGGGCTGCGGGCAGAGCGGACGCCGGCGAGGAGGCTGGCACGACGACGTCGGGCGTCATCGATATGCACGCGGCTATGGCGTCGGCAAGCTTGTCGGCTGGCGCAGCCTTCCCGCGGCAGACCGGGCACGAGGCATGGGACGAGAGCCACATGTCGATGCACTCCTGGTGGAACACGTACCCGTGCGCTAGGAGCTGCCTCACCTTCTCCCCCACATCGACGGTGCTGAGGTAGACCGCGCACTCGACCGACGCCGCCGTGTCCGAGACCTCGCCATTATCATGGGCTTACACGTACGGGAACGACAGGAGGCGTGTGATGATAGCGGCGTCTAGGCCGAACCTGGGCGGCGTCGGCTACTGCTGCTCCTGCTCCATGACCAGTGGACGATCACGCCGGCGACGGGCAACGTAGAGGGCTTGAGGGCAGATGAAGATGGTGATGAGGAAGAAGCTCAGGGCGAACGACGCGGCCAAGGCGCCGAACAACGTCGTGGTGCTGTAGCATCCGGAGGCGCCCGCCGCTGAGCTCGCCTGTCGTCCGCTCCACCCGCGGCCCGCCGCCACTTCGCTGCCGCACTCGCCCACCGCTGCTCTCCCGCCGCACTCCGCCGCCGCGCTCGCCTGCCATCCGCTCCGCCCGCAGCCCGCCAGCTCTCCGCCCGCCGCCCGCATCCGCGCATGCCCAGCGTCTCTCCGCTAGCCGCTGGCTTGAAGGAGAGAAGAGAGAAGAGAGAAAAGAGAAGAGAGGAGAAGAAAAGAGAAGAAAAAAAATGTGCAGCTGACATGTGTGTCCTGTGTACTTTTTTAATTTTTTTTGCTGACTAGGATGCCACGTCAGCGAAACCACCCATATATACTGCCTTGGGACCTTTTATGCGTGGTTTGTGTGAGTTTAGGGGTATAAATTTCTGGTTTTGTGGTTAAGGGACCTGAAAAAATCTCGCTGTTAAGTTGAGGGATCTCCGGTGAACTTATTCCTCCATAAAACTGACGCTAACTGTGGGTCCATGCAGGCCCGACAGCTATTGGGCCCGGCACACGGATGCAAATGTAGTTTCGTTAGGCCCGACAGCATCTTTTGGATGGATATTGGGCCAAAATGTGCTTTCCAGCCCATTTAGAATAACTGGGCGGTATGCCCTAGATAGTAGTTGTTCAACTCTTATCCTAACTCAACAAAGTACTGAAATTTTTGACAAATTGACCCCTTTAGCAAACTTATCCTAAGATTAAATCATACAAAAACTAATAGCAAAAAGAGCGCTGAGGTACAATGCCTCAGCGCCCTTTCTACAATTAGTTTTTGGCAGGATCTAATCTTAAAATAAGTTTTTTTAAAGAGCCAATTTGTCAAAATTTCAACTGATGGAGTATAATAAGTAACAGGTGCACCTAATGAACGATGTTGAAAAAAATTCGTATTTTCTATAATAATAAATTACACTGGGAAAGGTGGAAATCTACGGAAAAAATATTATATGATACATGTTTCTTTAGGGAAATATGATACATGTTATAATTGAAATAAAGTGCCACATCAATATATGTCTTATATTTATAGAAAAAAACAAAAAGTACATAGAGAAATTAATTATGTGGAAAAAATAACTAAATAAAATTCAAACACAATGTAAATCTACTGTTCTAAACTTCTAATCGTTGCATGAAGATTGACCTGTTTGTTTTGCTTCCATATTTTAGGCAAACATACGATTGGTTGGTATTACCTCTTTTCTTTTTACTGATCATTTTGAACATTAACACCTTCTCCAATGTACATATTTAATCCCTAATTTTTAACTATATATATTATAAAAGGTATTAAAAATTATAACAATACATAATTTAGAATGTTCTGTTTTTCGATTTCATGACACTCTCATATCCACGTGAGTAAGCTCTCTAACACATGCCTAATGTCCTAATTAAAGAGACAGAGATGGACATTATCATTAAATTCCTATTAAGAACCCACTCATGCATGCATGTATCTATAATATTTTATAGGCAACATGATTAAACTCTGGTGGGTTGAATTATGCACCAACCACTCTACTAGCGCACTGCGCACGAGTAGTGCTTCCCCTTAAAAAGTTTTTCTGAATATACGATTTTTAGAGAAATTTTATGAGAATTAACTGAATAAAAAATACGGTTTGAAGGTACCTCTATGTTATGTGGATACGAATAAGCAGGAGCTAGCGCCAACAAACATGCTAATGTTCATGGTACAATATCACAAAAATAACAAAAGTAAAACATACTCCCTCTATCTCACTTAATAAGGCACGTGCACATTCTAACATTGAACTATTTAAATATTTAACCAATAATTATTTTATTCTAAAATAAATTTTATTTGATGAAAACACTATCAATGAATTGATCAATTTATATTTTAATTTATTTTCATATGGTTATGATTTTGTTGTTACAAACATTATATTATATGAAAAATTTAAAGTCAAATATTAATTTTGGAGACCGTGCCATTTTCGACTGCGTTATTGAGTGGGACGGAGGGAGTACATTTTTAGAATATTATGTGCCATTGCACAAGATGCTTATCTTAGGCTGCCAGCTATCTACAACAACAATAATCTCAGATGACCGGAGTTCGAAAACGAAACTTATTATCATAACGAAGATAATAAATAGTATATAACTGGTTGGTAGCAAATTATGGGTAGCCGGCACTATTATGAATGAAAAGTTCCAAAGAGTAAAAGTAAAAAAGAATAACCATAAATTTGAATTTAGATTGTATACTAATATTAATATTATTAACATTAAGTTCCAGTTAAAATTTAAAAACTTGGAGTACATACTTAATTGCTCATACATTTCATAGCATAAAAATTATGAAATAACATATAAATAAATTAGATAAAAAAGTCACACGATGCTATGTTCTCCGATCCATATATACGTGAAGAATGTTGTTTAAGCATTAGAGCGCTCCAACAAAGACAATAGCTACTATAGCAGTTGCTAAGCACTATAGTTAACCGCTAAGTTTCAACATGCTATCTTTGATCCGGTACATAATGGTAAAGGTATGCTATCGCTACATAGTCACTATTGCAGCCACAATTAGCATTATTAATTTATTTATTACCTTGATCATAACCCACACTTAATACATACACATATATTGATATATATAGGTACATAGACCGTTTATTTGAGAGTATACGAGAGCATGTGAGCACACTTCCATCCAAGCTAAAAGAAATTCTTGGCCACAATATTCCGTGAAACTGATGCTGACAGAGGGCGCTTGATTGCCCTGCGATTATTAGGGTTGGCCCAGGTCGCAAATGAACCGAACCCTCTCTTCGATGCTTTATCCAGCCCAACTGTCAATGCATTATTGATCTTCATGGCACTTGGGCCACGCGGAGCTTGCAAATCCGGCCCATTGAGAAATACTCCCTGGTACGGCCTCGAAGGCACGCTCAAGAGTGGCTGGGCCTTCGACATCTTGCCCTTGCGTGCGCGCGACGGCGAGCACTCGTGCAACTCCGGCAGGACACCGGCCGGCCACGGCGAGGTCGCCGCCACCGCCGCCGCCGCGCTCCTCTCGTTGATGAACCTCACGACGCTCTCCATGAGCCTCCTGCTGGTCGCGCGGAGAGGGCTGTAGAGGTGGAACCCGTGGTCCTCGCCCTCCGACTCCACAAGCGTCACGTTGCGTCCGTCGCCGCCACCGGCCCACGCGCAGCCGCGCATGCGGGCGGCGAGGAGGCGGCCGCGGTCGCGTAGGAAGTCCTTCTCCGCCACGGCCACCAGCGCGCGACGGCAGGTTAGCGACGCGACCTCCTCGACGGGAGGGTCGATCCATGGGTCGTCGTTGCCCGCCTTGCCGGACGTCACGAACGGCCAGAGCTCGCCGACCTGATGCGGCTTGATCACCGACTCGCCGTCCCAGGCCGCCTCGGAAGGCAGCATGCGAGCTCCCCAGAAGTAAGGGTGGATGATTATGAGCCCCTCGATGCCGATGTCGCCGCCTTCGCGGCTGGCGGCGCGCACCGCCGTGCGGTACGCGATGTGGCCGCCGGCGCTGTCGCCGGCGATGAACGTGCGGCTGGGGTCCGCGTAGTTGGCGAGCCAGGGGTCTGAGAGGGATCCCACCCAACGCAGCGCGGCCCACGCATCATCGTGTGCCGCGGGCACGGGATGCTCTGGCGCGAGGCGGTACTCGACGGACACGACGAGGGCGCCGGCGCGCGAGGCGAGGGAGGCGGCGTAGCGGTGGTACGTCCGGCAGAAGGCGCTCTCGGTGCAGAAGGAGCCGCCGTGGATGTACAAGATGACGGGAAGCCTCCTCCTGCTTCCGGCGGCGGGGGCAGCGGACGGGAGGAATAGCCTCGCGAACACGCCGTTGCGTTCGTCGATGATGACGTCCCTCGTCGCCACCCCGCCGCGGCTGGCGGCGGGGTCCTCCGACGCCGGCACGAAGCTGCTGCGCAGGATACGCTCGACGCGGCCGTCGTTGTATTTGCGTATGAACGGGTGGAGATCGATGGCGACGTCGCCGTCGGCAATCTTTTGTGCGTGCATGGACATGGTGATGGTGTATATATACCTTAATTACTCGTTAGCTAGTAGTAGCAACTGGAGTAGCTCAGTTAGCTTGTTGCAGGCCACGAGATAGATAGGTTGTGTGGTGTGGGTGCGTATATATATACAAACGATCGTAGTGATCTCGGACGGGTATCGCGTGTTGCGCAGCCACCTACCTATGCGTACGAGAAGATCCATTATTATCGTATACCGTCAGCCTATGCATATATATACGACCTGTTAGAAGGCAGTAGTCAATGGTAAATAAAACCTGAATGGAGCTGAGGTTTGTGAAGAGTATGAGCACACGCTACTACAGAACTCTAATGTCTCGTATGTTCTAATTTCTCCATAATCAACTCAACAAGGCATTTCTCGCCGCTCTAGCTCCTGAGCGGGGCTTAAAGGCTTAAGTTAAAAAACAACGCCCTATAACAGTTTGTCAGTACTGGATTATTAATAAACCAATACTAACAAAGGGCTGGTATGTTTTGTAGCCTAAATTGACCTTACTAATTTCTATCGATGCTAAATTTTGACAAGTTTTAGCGTTGGCTGATCTTGGCAAGACAAAATTGTGTTTGGATTGAAGCCAAAATTAAATACCGAGGTTAACTATTGAAATGGCCTATTTCCTAAGCTTGTCAAAATTTGGCTTCAATCCAAATACGCACTTAACACTATTAAAATTGATAAATATTGGTAAGGACAATTTAGGCCAAATTAACTAAACCAGCCCAATGTGTTAGGTTTCTTTTTAAAAAAAACAGTACTTATGAGTGGGGGCATCGATGATTGTTTTTCAAATAAACTTGGACTAGTTGGGAACTGGGGATCGATTTAGCAAAGCCGATCAATGCACTAATGGATCTCTTAAGTCTCACTTTCGGCCTCTCTCTCCCTCTTTTCAGTGTATTCTATCTCGAACCCTCCTCCTCATCTTCGCCGTTGTGCATCCTCCCTACAAACATTGTGCCTGTACCATTTGTGCACTCGGAAAGGAGGGGGGGGAGGGGGGTGGTTGGTGGAGGTGGATGATGACCACCGCCCTCGACCTCGCTGGATCTGGCTACACTGCTAAGAAATGATTTTTCATGACATTTTGGTTTTGTTTTTACTGGCAGACCTAAAAAGATTCCCGCTTGTGAATATAACAGGATGCTCTGAATCCTAGCCCCAACAGAAAAAATAGATTTTTACCAGTAGGGTATTAAGAGCATCACTTGCAAAAAATACCTCTATTTTTTCAAGCGGGTCTTATATTAGCTTACTACGTGAACGGATGAACAACTTTTTTTTCTCGGACTGTATCCTTTCTTCTTTTTGTAGTACTTATAGTCAATGATCTGTCTCTCTTCCTACGAAGTAAACGTAGCTCAACTGCTTAGGTTCCTTCTGGTGGAACCAACTACCAGGATTTAAGTCTTAGGTTTGACACAAGTATTCGCATTTATGGTAAATTGTTTTTTCAGTGGTAGGTGACATGTTCGTTGATAGCGAGGTGTATGTTGTGACTTCATTAATCTCAATGTATGCCAATCTAGTCTTCCAGAGGTGCTTATAGGGGTACGGTGTGCATTTGTGCATTCACAGTGGTGAGTGTACGCACATTATGAGCGCATGCATTTGTATCTATCTTCCTATTGAATCATATTGTGCGTGAAACTTAAAATGAATATTTGGGCTTCTAAATGATATTAATGAAAAGTTTGTCTATTATTAGAAAGTTATAGATATTATCAAGAACTATAACTTTCATATTTTATATAAATTTTATGTTTCTCCAAAATCATTTGGGAAAAACTAAACTTCCGTACGCTACTATTGAACCTACATCCTTATTGGTCCATCTGTGACGGAGGCCTGCAGTCTGTCATAGAGGCACTCACCATCGAGGAGTAGAAAACACCCTTGAAAATGCGGCCTCCTGGCCGAACCTGTCACCGATGACCCTTCATCTTTGATAGGCAGAATTTACGACTCGACACAAGTAATCTATGACGGGCCACAATAAAACCCCATCACCTCACCGATGAGTGGTCATCGATAACGGGTGCAAGCTATCCATCTGTAAACGATGACTATAGTCATCATTAACGAGCTCCATTTGTGGCCCCATCACGGATGATATCCCTTCAGAATTATCTTTTATTTCTCCCCTACCTCCTCCCACCCGGCCACCCCTCTCTTTGTAGAACTCCCTCTGTGTGTCTCCCCTGTAAAGAGAGAGTTATATCTCCCTTGTCTCCTCCGCCCTCTACCTACTCATCCTCTCCATGTACCTTCTTTGTAGATACAGCGTTGGTCGTATCTTCATATCCTCCTTTGCCTCCCAAGCATCGTCCCACACCACCGCCTACGACCATGAGCACCGGCTGCCTCCTTGTCATCTCCTCCGCCTCCAAATCCATGAGCATCGGTCGTCTCCTCGTCTCCCCCTCCACCTCTAAAGTGTTAGCGTCACCGTCGCCTCCTCACCATGAGCATTGGCCTTGCATCCTACGCCCTTCACCTCCAAGGGGGGGGGGATGACCAAATTCATGGTTGGGATAGGGGTCGAGGTAGAGACAGTCGGCACCTCCGCCCCTGTGTGGCTGTCCCGTCTGTTGGCGCCAGTTTGCTCATGAACTGGTGCGGTCCAAAGGAGTCTCCAATATATATGCTCTTGTTTTTATTACACTTCCTCTGGTAAATGATGACACTACTATCACTACTGCAGAAACCATCTTTGCTGGGTTGGCCAAAACCACATTAGTCCCGGTTCCTATTAGAACCGGGACTAAACATCATTTTTTTGTTCCAGTTGAAAATCTCAACGCCACTTTATGATCTTTAGTCCCGGTTAAAAAAACATTTGACCCCCTACTAACCGGGACTAAAAATCAATATGTTGTATATAATCCCTTGCACTTATGCTCTTATCCTCATTTCTAACTTCTCCTCCTCCCTTTCCTCCTCTCTCTCCTCTATCTCTTTCCTCTTAGTTATCCTTATCCTCCCCTTTTATCTCTTTCCTCTCCTCTCAGTTATCCTTATCCTTATCTTTTCTCTCTTGCAACAGCGAGGATCAGCCTGCGCGCGGCGGCGGCGGCAGCCCCGAGCGGCGGTCCGCGCAGTGGGGGGCGGCAGCTTGGCATAGGGGTGGTGGCAGTCCGTGCAGCGGGGGGCGGCGGCAGCACCGAGCGTGAGTGACGGTCGATAGCACGAGGCGATGGCGACGGCGACCAGCCTGTCGGTGGAGAGAGATCGCACGAGGAGAGTCCGTGATTTCGTTGATTATTTGTTGATTTATCTGTGAATTTGTTGATTTGTGATATCTTTGGATCTGTAAATTTGTGATATCAATTCGAGTATGTTCATTTGATATGTGAATTTGTGGATGATTTTGTTATGTTTATGTGAATGTGGATGATTTTATTGTTGAGTTTGGTTTGAAATCAATATGTAAACAACAACAAACTATGAAAAAAAAGAAAAAATAAACTTTAGTCCCGATAAGTAACACCAACCGGGACTAAAAATCCATCTTTAGTCTCGATTATTTCAACCGGGACTAAAGACATCGATCTTTAGTCCCGGATTCTTAGTCTCAGTTTGCAACCCGGGACTAAAGGGGGTTGCAAACCGGAACTATAAACCACTTCTCTACCGGTGTATGAAAACAAACACTCAGATGTATCCTGGTTCGACTTATGATAGATGCACTACCATGCCATGCCAATGACTCCCATTGAGGACATCATGAGTCATAAGCTAAGGATTTCTTTGATTAATGTCCAAATGGTTCTTCATGGTGTATTTTGGGAGTTTGATTAGTATTCTTGATTGTGATAATTGTGCGACAATTATGTATATGATCAGTCGTAAACTTATGAGTTACGTGAGTAGCTATGAAATGATTAAATTATCATGCAACTAGCATTAGACATGGCATGATATTACGGTGAATATATATATAAAACACAGATATAGGGATTAGATAGATACAAAATTCGGACGAGTACTATGTTCCCGATTGATGCCTTCTTTCTAAACGAACGAATCTTAGGTAGAGACGTAGAGTAACTGATCGTTCTGTCACATGTATGTCGACGGCAGCTAGCATCGAGTATACCATGGTTTCTTACATGCAGGTCCACAGCAGCTAACACTATGAGGCTAATATAATTTTGTATATATATGCAAATTAATCTGGTAGTAAGCACCACACGTCATAAACATGGTATCAGCTGGACTATCTATTCGTCAGTTGATGATGAAGACAGCTTGAAAAATAAACACCATGATCACTTTAAAAACTAGAAATTACCATATTATTTGGAGAAAAGAAGAAATATTTTAATCGCTAGATCGTGGTTTATTTATATTAATTATAACGGTACAATTGAACATAATTAAATACTATATCTGTGTGAAAATAATTGTAATTTTATATTGTTTAGTATATATTAAGATTTGAGAAAAAAAACTATAATACCCCTCATTAAATAGTGTATACGTAAGAGTAAGAGTGAGTGGCTGAGAGTAGAATAAGGAGAAATTTGAACGAAAAGTAATTAATGGGACAATAGTAATCTATTGCGATAATTATTTTAAAACAAATTTGAATCCTAAAAATACAATTATCATGGGACAGAAGTAATAGATGTTAAGTTATAAGAACGATACAATTCCAATGTAAAAAAAGGAAAAGAACATATAAAGATATGCGGACTTGAATTTCACTTTGAATAACATTATTGGATTATTAAACAGCGCCAACCAGTAGAAAGCATGCCCCCACAACGGGAATTGTTTCCATATTCATGTTTGATCATATTCGATCATTATTTGTATCCGAGATAATTCATATTTTGTTTCTGTATCTGAGCTATTCATATTCGTTTTTTATCCGGCAAAAAAATATAAAACAAATATGATATAAGTATTATCTGTCCGTATTCGCTCCAATTTATGTCCCTACTTGGCACTCCGCCCAGCCGATGCCACAGTGCCACACAGAG